TCCGCAGGATGCTGGAGCTGGAGCCTCTGGCATGCCCACCCTGCTCTCCCATAGGTCTTCTCCTTTTAGTTTGTTAAATCATCCATTTCCTGGTGAAATTGTCGGTGCCATCCAAGCTGGGCATGGCACAGCCTCCTGGGGCTTCAAGAGACGTGTGAGCTGATGTTCAAACGCTCTGGGCTGCTGCAGGAGTGAGGTCGCCCAGGTCCAGTGTGGCCTGTGTCTGTCTGTGTCTGGAGAAAGCAGCAGGTTGGTTTTAGGTGGGGCAAGAGGGAGTTAAACACCCAGGTGTTGGCACAGGGCTGGGGATACTGCTGGAAGTACCTCTGCATGGCAGTCGAGTCCCTGTGTGCTGTGTTAGGTGAACATCTGCTATGGTTGGGTTGGAAAGAACCTCAAAGACTATCCACTTCCAGCTCCTCTTCCCTGGGCAGGGGCACTTTCCACTAAATCAATTTTGCTTCAAGCCCCATCCAGCCTGGCCTTGAACACTTCCAGGAAAGGAGCAGCCACAGCTTCTCTGGGCAGCCTGTGCCAGTGTCTCATAACACTCACAGGGAAGAATTTCTTTCCAATGTCCCATCTAGCCTTACCCTCTGGCAGTGTGAAGCCATTCCCCATTGTCCTGTCACTCCATCCCTTGTCCTAAGCCCCTCTGCAGCTCTCTTGGAGCCCCTTTAGGCACTGGAAAGGCTCTAAGGTCTCCCTGGAGCTTCCCTTCTCCAGGCTGAACACCCACAGCTCTCTCAGTAGCAGAGATGCTCCAGCCCTCAGACCATCTCCATGGCCTTCTCTGGACTCACTCTAACAGCTCCAGGTCCTTCTTGTGTTGGTGCCCCAGAGCTGGAGGCAGCACTGCAGGTGAGGTCTCACCTGAGTGGAGCAGAGGGGCAGAGTCACATTCCAGAAGCCAGCAAAGTGCCTTGCCCTGAAGAGGTGATGGTCACAGGGCTTAATGGATCAGTGGCAGAGGGATGGGGAAAGCCCTCCTGTGGAGCTGGAGGAAGAGGAGAAGGTAGAAAGCATTCCTAGCCAGATTGTCCATGTAGAAGGGCCCCTTCCTTGGATCCATAAATTTTCTCTGTATTTTTTCCATCACACTTCCTTGTTAAATAGTTAGTCTTTTTACTTAAAGTAAATTTTTACTTATAGGAAACCAGCAAGATCTGACAAACACCCCAGGAAAATTATCTCAGCAAGGTATTTTCATACAGCCCTAGGGAAAAAATCAGGGATATGCAATTGTGATACAGAGATCCCAGACTTTCCTGTGCTGAGTTTTCTTTTACTTGTCAGATTGAAAATAAACCTTTAAGGCCTTTGGTTTTCTCATGTTGGATTTAATCCCACAGCACTTGAACTCCTCGTTTAGGGAATCCCTGAGCTTGCAGCATGGCTTAGGCATGGCTGCTGCTCCTCTGGACAATGCAAGAGATGGAGCTTTGTGTTTTCAGCAGAGAAATGTGCAATGAATGGTGTGTTCAAGGCTGCTGGTTCATGCACTGATGCTGGCAAACAAGGTGAGGAGTGAGCAAGGGGGAGATGTTTTATGGAGATAAGCTGCACAGGCTTGCACAGTGTGTAGCGCTGGGAAAGACCTGTGTCTGCAGGTCTCAACTGAAGTAACTTGCCCAAAGGTCACCTGGGAAACATGTGGAGAGCCAGCAGTCAGGTTCTCCCCCCGACCTTCTGGCTGAAGCTGTTCACTGCAAATGGCATCTTTTCTCCAGGACTTGGCTGAGATTCCTTTGTGCAGGTGCCTTTAACTCTTATGGAACTGTTGCTCTTGTTCAAGGCTTCAGACAGGCTTGGATGAGCAGGTTGGACTGGAATCTTGGTTTAGTTGCTCTTCCTCTTTTTGTTTCTTATTTTGGGGACAGGGGCAAGGGGATGGGACACAGGATGACCTTGTCTTCTGCTATGACCATAGCAGGGTGTCAGCTCCCTAATCCAAGGTTACTGGGCTTGTAGACCCTATTGCTGTGGTGCTACATTAGATCTTCTGTGTGGGTTTGGGAATGCGTTGGGAGAAACGCATTGGATTTTGTCACTGCTTCCAAGAGACTTTGTGCTCAGTGATAGATGGAACCTGAAGTTATGAATCTCTTCTTTAAATTAATGTATTTTAGCTAATTTGCATCCTGGAGTTTGGAAAGAGTTGGCTGAGGAACAGTTTGTCTTGAATGTTGTTTTATACTAACTGGTGAAACAGGGAAGGTTCCAGGAGGTGGGAGGAGAGCAGAGGACATGACCTAGGTGTGTGTGGCTTGCTCACCTCCATGTGAACCTCAAGTAAAACACTTGAGGGCCTTGTGAAAAACTCATTTAAGAAGTGTTATGTAGTAATGCCAATCAGTATGTATTTATGGACCCTGTCCTACTAACTTACTGCCCTTTTTGTTTCCAGGGCTCTAGATTTTTGGCATAGAAAGTACTTGTTTGGGTATAGTACTCCTCATAAGGCATTTGAGTTAGTACCTCATGATATTTTGATTTATAGAGCTAAAACAGTACTTAATCCAGTTCTTGGAAGGAGAGAGGAACTTCTGGTGAGGTTATTTCATCCATATGTTTGCACTGACAAAGGTTTTGTAACATGGTGCTTTTCAAAGTCATCAGCAGTGACATGGTTGGAATTGCTGCCCCAAGAGAGCATGTAAGAAATGAAGTATCCAAGGCCAGGTTGGATGAGGCTTGGAGCAACCTGGGCTATTGGGAGGTGTTCTTGCCCTGGGCAGAAGCTGGAACTAGATGGCCTTTAGGGTCCTTTCTAACCCAAACTATTCTGTGATTCTATGAGTCCAGTCCCCACAGAGGTGGATGGACTTTCTGTGGTGCACAGGGCATGATGAGTTGTGGGTGTCACCTCTACTCCCAAGTTATCTGGAAGCCACTGGCAGCCTCTGGATCTCTACCAAGGACCACAACTTTTTAAAGTCAAATTTCTGTCTGGATGTTATATAAGTAATAAGCAATCCATTTTGCCATCCTGAATGGGAGCAATCTCCTGGTTTTGTCAGGTTCCTCTTCATTCTGCTGGGACCAAAGGGCAAAGCAAAGTCCTATCACGAGATCGGCCGAGCCATCGCCACGCTAATGTCGGATGAGGTAGGTGTCTTAGCATCTCCCATGGGAAATGGGTTCTTCCAAATAACTATGTCCTTTCCTCCTCCTGGTCAACAGGAATAGGCATTCCCATAAAGCTGAAATATCCTAATGTTCCCTCCTAATTCCATCTGTTGACATAATCATTGCCTGGGGCTAAGCATGACCAGAGGAAGGGTTTGTCCGTGGTGTGCATTTCCTGCTAGCAATCACTCTTGCAAATCAACTGTGAATTAATTGTGGAATTAATCTCGTCCCACCCCAGTGTCCCTCAGCCATGCTCCAGGTAGTCACCACAGCACTGGTTGCCCCCAGGACATGCTGCTGTGTGTGGCACAGTATCCTGACCATGTCTTCACTCTGGCTTGTATATTATCCAGGAGCAGCTGGCCATTCCCTGCTCATCCCACACCTCTCTGGGATGACTTGGCTTTCAGCATTCATTTGCAGCTCCTCTGGTCCGGCGTCCCTTGGGCTCTGTGTGCCGAGGGCTGATTCACATTATCTTTGGTTCTTGGCGTTGTTTTGCTCTCGTACAGTCCCTTAATTACAGCTTGTCTGCTCTCAGCTCCTCTGGTTTCTGTCACTCACTGGTCTGGTTTCCACAGCCCCACGGTCCCTTCCTACCACTGCCTGGTCTGTCGTGTGCACTGATTCACCTCCTTTCCACATAGGCTGAAAGACTCCTATGAAATTCAGCATTAGTGCTCTTTTTCCCCACTTCTCTCATTATTCTTCATCAATAATACCAGGCCTTTCCCTAAAACTAGTTTATGTTGTTATTTTTGAGTCAATATTGTCATCATTTCTATGTCACAGGGTTGAAAATGAACCTAGGTGTGATTGAGCAAAGCAGGTGCCTTTGTATTACTGTCTTAAAGTGTAACTGAATCTCCTTATGTAGAGGAAAATTCTCTTTTTTTGATAAAAGAAATAGATAATTGCTTTAGTGACATCTTTAAAGCTCAGAAATGTATGTTTTGCTTACAATTAGGATTATCTCTGTCATTATCCAGCCAAAGGAAGAGACTTTCTGAGGGTTACACCTCTTGATGCCAAGAGTCATGATACTTCTTCAGAGGGTTTTTTTTAGTAGGAATTAAGTTGGTTTTGTAGAATAAAACTCAGCAGCTGCCTCTGGAGTCAGGGCCACAGAAAATGCAAACCTTTTCCACATGGAGTCTCTCTTTTCCTTGCAGGTATTCCATGACATTGCCTATAAAGCCAAGGACCGGCAGGACCTGATTGCAGGCATTGATGAGTTTCTGGATGAAGTCATTGTGCTCCCCCCTGGGGAATGGGATCCAGCCATTAGGATAGAGCCCCCCAAGTCTCTCCCTTCTTCAGATAAGAGGTACTAGCAGGAGAGAGGCTCTGTGGGTGTCAGGTCTGAACAGGTGATGGGAAGAGATGGTGCTTTGGGTCCACCAGGTGTATTGAGTGTCCTGCAGCTGTTTGATGGTACTTAGAAAGTCCTGGAGATATTTTCAGGTCTTCCTTTGTAGCTGGAGGGAGGATATTCCTGAAAAATTCTGTACCTTTTGGAGTGTTGTAGGCACGTAGTGGCATACCTGGTGGTCGCCCAGACTCTTCAGAGTTTTGCTTGGTCCTTCTGACATGCTGTGTTCTTCTCTAGGAAAAACATGTACTCAGGTGGAGAAAACCTCCAGATGAATGGAGACACCCCTCATGATGGAGGACATGGTGGTGGGGGCCACGGGGACTGCGAGGAGCTGCAGCGGACGGGCAGGTCAGTGACACACCTGGGGTGACCTCAGCAGGGTGGCAACACTTCCCTTGCCCAAACATTCCTCCCTTTCTGCTTCCCACCCTGACATACCACCTGTACAGGTTGACCTGTGACCCCAAAACATGTCCTGGAGTGTTTTTAGTGCCTGGCTTGAGGCTGTCTGAAGGGTTCTGAACATCCAGCCTCAGCAAATTACAGCATGTCTTAAACAAGATGCTCATTAAGTGAATAAAAAGTGATTAAAAAGCAAAGAACACCCAGGGTAGGTGCTGAACATTGAGAGCCTGTGAAGTCGGACAAACCCTGAAGGATGTAAACGTGGCAGGTACAGCCCCAGTTTCCATTTGGATTGCTGGAAGTGCTTTAGCCAAAAGCAGACACATTCCCTTTCCAGACATTGCTGTTGCCATTGGATTGCACAGATGAAAGCTTTTATGGGATAGAAACACAAAAGGTAACAGAGCCCCAGGCCCTGGTCTATGCTTTATTACTCTGCTTTGTGCCACGTGAAAGTCCACTGGAGTGGGAATGCAGCTCAGGTGGCCATAAAACAGTGTGCTCAGGGTTTCAAGGTCAGCACACAGAGGTTCATGGTGGCTTTGTGCCCTCCCTTCCACTCTGTATCTTCTTTTTAAGTTCTAGTACAATATCTAGGAGAAAAGTCAGAAATTCCACACTGGTGTGTACATGGCAGTGGAATATCCTGGTTTGGGGTCAGAAGGTGACATATGCCTGTGTGCCACAGTGTCTGAGCAGTTCTGGTGTGAGTGTGGAGCTGTGTACAGCAGAACAAGAGGCTCAACAGCAATGTTTTTCATGCTGGCAGTGTCAGAGCCACGTGGAGTTTATCAGAGTTAAATACTGGCCTGTCAAGAGAGGTCTGCAAGGGGAGCTCTCTTGCTCTCCAAGATGATTTCACTTGCATTTTTACTTCTGGTTCTTTTGCTAGTGAACAGTTTGATGCATTTTTCCATGTAGCAGATTGTTTGGCTCCCCTAGCCATGGTGTCTGCCATGTGGAGAAATTTAGGCAGGGATTTAGACTAGGGTTAATCTATTTTATTGCATCAACTAATATAGCTGAGGGGAAAAAACACAAGAGATGAGCTTCCCGCACTGCAAAGGGCAGTGGTCTGTTCCAGCAGAAGCAGGGCTTGTGTTCCTGAAACTTGTCTCTTTCCAGCTGCATCACATGTTGAAGATATTATCTTTACAACATTATTGCTGATATCCCTGGACATCCACAGCTGCGATAAGACTCTCTGTAATGTGATGATCTCACTCCCTGCAGATAGCACTTCATTGCTGGCAGTGTCTCTGATGACTTATTGTAGTGACTTTCACTGTGAGGCATTTTCCAAGAGTCTCCTCTTGCTTGTCCTTGCAGGTTCTGTGGAGGTTTGATCAAAGACATAAAGAGGAAAGCACCGTTCTTTGCCAGCGACTTCTACGATGCTTTAAACATCCAGGCCCTCTCAGCCATCCTCTTCATCTACCTGGCCACTGTCACCAATGCCATCACCTTTGGGGGATTGCTTGGGGATGCTACAGAGAACATGCAGGTCAGCAACAGCTTCCAGAAACAACAAACAGTATTTGTCTTGTGCTCTCTGGTCAGAGCAGTGATTGGGCACCAACAGAGCTGGAATTCTGGCTGCAATAGTGGAGGAATCCTGGGGTTTCACTGCTTTCTTTGCTGCCCTTTGGCAAATCTGTACAGCAGTTACCTTAAGTAGTGATTAAAAGCAGCCCAGGAGATGGAGGTCTTTGCTCCTATGTAGAGAAGTTCCTCTGCTCTGCTCTCGGTTGTACTGGTTCAGTCCTGGACTGATGCACTTTCCACATCTGAATCCTCTGCCTGACTCCCACAATCCCTGGGATTCTGCCACTGGTGAAAAGAAAATCCTAAAATTCCTAGGAAAGGAGTAAATCAGGAGATGTGACACAAGAGAGAAATGTCAGGTCTTTAGGGAGGTGTATTTTGCAGTGCTGGGAGGTCAGATCCTGAGAACCAGCTTGCATAGCCATGGACAGGCTGGATCAGCATGCAAGGCAAGAACAGGGATGTGAAAGGATGGATCAGGCTAAAGAAAATGGATTCTGTATTAACTGTTCTGTAGATGCTTCATGTTAATGGAGTAATGGGGAAAATAGGAGGTTTGTATTTAGATAGATTCAGTGCAGCCACGTGGAATCTTCTAACAATAATTCAGCTCATACTGTAAGTGACTGAATTGTTAATTTGGACAGGTTTAAATAAGCCAAACATAGGAAAGGAGGGCACCTCTCTGGAACTCTGCACTTCCCTGTGAGGAATTACACACTAGAAGAAGATCCAGCAGCTGGTGGAGTGTTCCCTCTCCCCTGTACAGAGTTTGCCTCTTCTGAGACTCATGGAAGTTGGGAATGGAGAGGCCTCCAGGACACACCAGTGAACATCCCTGGGCTGTCACTGGGCAGCAGAGCAAAGTCTGTCTACTCTGCACCTGCACAAGGTGCTGTCTGTAAATTAGGAGGAGAAAGAGGAAATGTTACCTCACTTCAAATTCAGTGCAAATTTAGAATCACTTTACTGTGGCTAAAAGTCTCTTCTGAAGTTACCTTTGTACCCCATGAACATTTAATGTCAAGTAGCAAAATCCAACGCAGTATTTTGGGTGCTCCCACATCACTCACTGTTCATGCCTCTGGTTTGTTGTAGACAGTGGTGTGGCTGCTGCTGGGGCAGGCACTGAGCATGACCCAGGAGCTGCTCTGGCCAGCTCTTCCTTCACTGCTCACCCCTGAGTTTTCTGTTTCTGAGAAAAGACACTATTCTTAGCTACAGACACGTGGAAGAATGCAGGGAAAAGAGATTCCAGATGCTCTGGCTGCGAGGGCTCTCTCCATGAGTAATGCAGGAGGAGCAGAGGGGATCAGCTGTGCGGATGCCGTTCCTCTTCCCGGGAGCATTCGGCTCATCCTCACAAGTCCCCCAAAGGCAGCCAGCAAATATTGCTTTCCTCAATGTAAACACTAATGTGTGTCTTTCCAAGGAAGAGAGCCACAAAACTGAATCTACATTGTTTGTATGACCCCTGATAAGTCAAGAAAACTGCAGCCTCTTCCCTGCAGTGTGTCAGGGGTAGGAAGGAGGATCTGCACGTGCCATTAATTGCTGGCTGCTCGGCACGTGTGGCATTAACGAGGCTGCTGATTAAATCCACGCCGGGATTTGGGAACATATTCCTGGAGAGGGTGATGCTGACGGCTGCACGTCCTATTCAGTAGATGCTGATGCTCTTGTTGTTCCTTTAAAGCTCAGTCAAGTGTAAATAGTTCAGAAGCTAGTGTAAGCTCAGCACATTCTGCCATGTTCGTAGAAGGCTGCAGGCTTGGTCAATAATCACATTTTAGTGCCATTTATATTTCATCCTCATCTTGCACTTTAAAAGCAGATGTTGTCCGGCTATAGCTGGACATGAAAATCCAAGAATGCATCAAGCATGCTCTTTTGTCCTTCTCCAGCTGAGCTGTTCGGCCACACATGCCAAAAGTAATTATAGAGCAAATCAAATACGGAATTTATGACTAGCTGGTGACATCTGATGAAGCTGGGTCCCAACACGTGGCTGCTAGATGAAGTAGCCTTGTTTGGTTTGTGTCTTACTAACTAAATCAGCTACTTGAAGGAGAGGCAGATTGTTTGTCTACAAAGTGTCTGCTCAGTTGGAGAGAGAAAATATCTCACCCTCTGTTGTTCTGGAGGATGTTGATGCTGTCCTGTAGCCACAGTCTGCCTTGGTGCTTGAGGAATCCTGCAGATGTGTCTTTTTACTGTCAAAGTCTTGGGAGATTTTAGAATGATAGAATGATTTGGGTTGGAAGGAACCACAAAGATCATCTGGTTCCAACCACCCTGCCACAGGCAGGGATACCTTTCTCTAGACCAGGTAGCTCCAAGCCCTGGCCTTGGATGTTCTAGAAGTTCTCAAATCTTTTAAGTGGTCCTTAAAAACACCCTCCTGCCCTTGTCAAATACAAAATACAGTGTATAGTGTTATTAACCTGCGGAACTCAGAAATCCAAGGGGGTTTGATGGTTATTCTGAGTAACTGTGGATTGTGTGGACCAACACATCTAGGTGTGAGCTGCATGAGAGGCAGAGGATGGTCTTCCCTTGGCCAATGGGTGTATCAACACATAGCAGGTCATGGATGAATCTACTCATTTAGAAAAGGTTCTCCAACAGAACTGTGACTAGTCACATTTAGAAAGGGCTCTCCATCAGGACTGACTCCTGTCCCGTGTCTCCGTTAGGGCGTGTTGGAGAGCTTCCTGGGCACAGCCGTCACCGGCGCGATATTTTGCCTTCTGGCTGGTCAGCCCCTGACCATTCTGAGCAGCACAGGACCCGTCCTGGTCTTTGAGCGACTACTCTTTAACTTCAGCAAGTGAGTACATGGAGGGGAGAGGGTGGAGGGGAGGAATGTCCCACACTAATGAAATCCCAGTCAGGGGATGAGATGGCTGGCGGTGGGGAAGGAGGGGATTTAGTGCACCAAATGAAATGTCTCGTTGTTCCTTGTGGAGATCCAGCGCAATCACATCAGGGATTTTCCTGGCATGTATGTCCCAGGGCGCTGCCCAGTGTGTGGCTGCCTGTCTCCCAGGGCCCTCCTGGAAAGAAATCTTCAGCCACTTCTGTCCTCCATGAGGAATTTGCTCTAGTTACAGTGTGCTGTGCTTCCCTGGCTGCTTTGGGTTTCCCATGAGAGCAAAGAAATGAAGCCAGCTCTTCACTAACCATATCCCATAGGTCTCAAGGTTGACACAAATTTGTCCTTTAAATCTTTACTCATTTGAAATAATCACTGTTATTTATGAAAGCAGAAGTGCCTGTGATAGAAACAGCCCCGAGAATTCCATGGTGGAGCTTTCCTGCATTAAAGGCTCTTGGTTTTTTTCCATTTAACTGTCATACAGGGGTTCTGCTCCCTCCACATTGTCAATAGCTGACACCTGGAGCCAAAGGGAGCCTGTTTTGTTAGGTGAGCTCATTCAACATTCCCACATCTGCAATACCAGGAAGATACACTGAGAATCCCTTAAGGAATCAGCACTGATTATTTTATTTGCAGGGCTGCTGATCCTTTGGCCTATGTTTTGCAAGGAGCTGATTTTAAGTCACACAGAATTTACCCCAAATCACTTACAGCCCATATTCATGGCATTGCAGGTTGTGCAGGCCTTGTGTTCCTACACGTAGGGAGGAATGGGGACTAGGAAAAATAGATGGAAAATTAGATTATCCCAAGGAGGGAAACTGGAAGTTGCTGAAGGGTGAGAACTCCCCAGCAGAGCAAGAGGGAGGCACCTTTCTTTTCTTCCTTTGGAATAAATGAATGGAGTCAGGAGTGGCCATGCTACACTCTTGGCACCTGGCAGGCAGGGCAAAGCCCAGGTGCAGCACACAGTAGGGAAAAAGCAAGATGGAAAAGCACTTTGTATGGATTTGGGAAGGAGAAGGTGGTTATTTATAACCTGAGGAGGAGATGGAGGTTGTAAAAGGCATTGTCCTAACAACCTGCTGGAGCAGAAAGGCAGATTTCAAGGGAGCCTTTCTCACAGGGAAATTGGAGCCAAGCACTGTGATTTTTCAGTAATGCATTTGTGGTTGTTCATATTCACAACACTCTGTTCCCTGCTGGGAGCAAGATTAGAAAGACTTGCCATCTGCTGACTGATTTAAAGTGTGACTGTGTGTGTGTGTGAGTATGGAGAGGTCCCTAAAAACCGCTCATGGATCCAGACACGCGTCTGGCCCTGGGTGCCCCGCGGTGCCAGCACAGCGGGTCGGTGCTGCAGGACAGAGTGCTTTTCCATTTGCTCTGTCAGCTTCGGAAGTGCTGCAGGAATTCGAGGGGTAAAAGCCAACACAGTGTAGTTTAATACTTTCTGAAGTTCTGAAGTGTGGAGTCAGGGTGTACCTGGGCTTCTGCCAGCTGCCTTCAGCTGGATGGCAGCTCTGCCCCCTCGGGCTCTGGATATTTCAGAGCTGTCGCTGGGGTCCTTCATTATTATTATTTTTCCCTATTTTGTTTTCTAAATCACTTGGCTTCTTACTTGCTCCTTACCCCTCTTCCAGGTCAGGGCTCCTGGCTTCCAGGGGACTTCAGCTGGCAGGACCTGCCAGTCCCACTGCCTCCTGCTCCTTTCCCCAGAAGAGGCAGTAACCTCCCTGGCAGGTCCTTATCTGCTCTGGTGTTCTCCTAAAAGCCCACGTTTGGACTCTGCACTGCAGCCTTGAGCAGCAAACAAGGGGCCAGCAATCTCCCAGGAGGGAACCATGCAGTTGGCTCCAGGGTTCTCCACAGCCTGCCATTCCCAGCACCGGGGTTTGTGATAGGGCATAGAATATCCCAGAGGGAAGGGAACCATAAGGATCAGCAAGTCCAACTCAGTGCTCCTGGCAGGACTACCTGAAACTAAGCCATGTGGCTAAGAGTGTTGTCCAGATGCTCCTTGAACTCTGTTGCCATGACCACTTCCCTGGGGAGCTTGTTCCAGAGCCTGACCACCCTCTGGATGAAGAAAGTTTATGTTCAATCTGAACTTCCCCTAGTGCAGCTTCATTCCATATAATATCTGCTTTGTATTTCTTGATCTTACCTAACCTGATGTTTTCCCTTGTTGCCACCCCTGTCTTGTTGCAGGGACAATGACTTTGACTACCTGGAGTTCCGCCTCTGGATCGGCCTCTGGTCAGCCTTCCAGTGTCTCATCCTCGTGGCCACCGACGCCAGCTTCCTGGTCAAGTACTTCACCCGTTTCACTGAAGAAGGATTCTCCTCCCTCATCAGCTTCATCTTCATTTATGATGCTTTCAAGAAGATGATCAAGCTGGCAGATCATTATCCCATCAACTCCCAGTTCAAGGTGGACTATATCACGCATTTCTCTTGTGCCTGTGAACCACTAGACCCAGGTAAGAGAGAGTTTCATGACCTCTCCAGTTGGCAGGAAGGAGGTGGAATTTGCTCTCTTTTTCTTTTGTGCTGCAACTGAGGTAATAGGTAGATTAATCCTTCTTTATCAGTTGACTTTAGATATCGTATTGTAGTTTTTTTGAGGGATGAATTTCACTCCACATCCCAACAGGAATGTCGGTATAGCCAACCTTTCTGGGACTCATTCAGAGAGCATCGTGACCCATGTAGAAGCTGTCTCTGCACCCTTGTCTCTTTGCATCCCTGTGGCTGTCAGCTCCAAATGGTGTTCCTCTGAGAACTCCATGCCGTGGAGCTCAGGTCACTGCCATGGAGCTCAGGTCACTCCCGTTAAGTGCTGGAGCTGGATTTATTCAAGGTGTTCCCCAAACATGGGTGGTTCCCACCTCCTGGCTGTGTGGACAAGTGGGAAAGCACAAACAATTCCTCACTGAGTGGAAGGGAAACGTATCCACGGGGCAGCCTATCTCTGCAGTGTGGGCTGTGCAGCAGATAGAGCCAGTGTACGCACAGGTCTGGGTACACAGCCGGGAACAAAGGGTTACAAAGCTCAGATCCAAACAGGGGGACACTGGCTGTACCATTAGGGAGTCAGGGACCACTCCTAGGATCCTAGAAACAATGAGGAGTGAGTAAGAAACTTGGTCTGAGTTCAAAGTAAACTGCAGGTTATCTCAGTGTACCTGTCGAACAGGAAGAGCTGCTGGCTGCTCTGTACAGGTGTTGGGAGCAGCTTCCCTGGGAGCTGCTTGCCTTACTAAACACAGGATCTTGGCCAGCACGTGGGTGCTGCTCTGGTTCTGCGTCCACTGGAGTGGCAGGATGGTTTCCTTCTTGGAGCTAGGATGATGGGAATGGTCAATGCTAAACTGGAAGTCTGCACTTCCCATTGAGGCACCTGTGGCTCCCCAGACAGCAAAGTAAACAGATTTATCTGTGCTAAACCTCAATAAGCTGTGAGGATGGAGGTGATGAGCCCATTTGCAGGAGCAAATCCATTTGTAAATGAAATTTCAAGTCAGTGTTTCCTAATGCCACAGAAACCAAAGGAAAACATGTCACCACCACAGAGAATGATGCCCCTGCTTTCAAAGAAATGGTCCCCGTCCTGTTCATTTCAGTTACTCTCTGTCTTTCCCTTCCATTGGACTCAAACAAATGTGTTTGTGCTGGACACTGAAATGCATTTTGCTTTTCTGGGTATATTTAGGGTTGTGCTTCAGTTTGAAATTAATCATTAGGAGTGTTCTGTGGATATTTAGTTTAATCCAGAAATCATTAGAAAAATACTGGAAAACCATGAAATATTATATTGTCTGTCTGGTTTTCTGTGGTGTTTTTTTTTTTTTTTTTACAATGAGCTCCAAAAACATCCAGTTAGGTTTGGATTATGTTTCACTTAACCTTTTCTTTCCATTTTGTGAGTGAGTGATGATTGAGGCTTTTTGTCTCTCTGAAATAAGACTTGTGGCTCACTTTACTTGAGCAAAGAAGTGGTGAACAGCTTGATGGAGTCAAGAAATTATTTAACAACTGGGATTTGCCCTCCTTCCTGGCTGTTCCTGCACCCCACTCACTGTGTTCCCTCTTCTCTCCTCTCTTGCAGTTAATAGCTCATTATTTAACGGCACAACGGTGCCGCCAACCGATGAGCTCCTCTCTTCCTCCACTGACTCGGTGAGTTCCCCTTGGGAGAGCAGGGACCACAGGGACTGTGGAGTCTGGCACTGCCACTCCCGTGGTGAGCTTGGGATGATGAGGAGAAAGCAGTGGAGCTGGATGGGTCAGATCCATACATGGGGGAAGGAAGTTAAGACACAGAGTTAACTCTTTAGTCAGACACCAGCAGGAAAATTGTCTCACCCAAGCTAATCTGATTCCATGATTTTTAGCCTCTGCGCTGTGCCTCCCTGTTCTCCCAGATGCTCTGTCACTGCTCCTGTCCCAGCATGAGCAGCTTACACACAGCCTTATGGAAACATTCCCTTTTCTCCTGCAGTACAACACCACCATTGACTGGTCAGCTCTGACAGCCAAGGATTGCTTGAAGTACGGGGGACAGCTCGTGGGCAACAACTGTGACTATGTCCCTGACATCACCCTCATGTCTTTCATCCTCTTTTTCGGCACTTACACCTGCTCCATGGCCCTGAAGAAATTCAAGACCAGTCGCTATTTTCCCACCACTGTAAGTAACTCCTTAGACTTAGAGTAGACTCCTAGTAGTCTTCCCAAGGGCAAAGCCTTCCTTGTGGAGCAGCTGTCACACACACAGGGAGGGATGCTGTGCAGGGAAGCCAGGTCACACTGGTTGGGATAAAAACGTGGAACCGGTTAACCAAGGGATGACTGGAATGGCTCCCAGCAGTTCTGGAGGGCACAGGGAAGGCAGCAGAAGAGCCAAGAGAAGCCATAATCTGTCATGGGAATATCACAGGGATATTGAAGGTGCTGAAGACAACACTTGCAAGCTCACAGGCATCTCTCAGGTGTATCCTCTTGTTTTGTCCCCCCAGGTGATGCTCCCATGCCAGACGTGCGAGCTGGTGTGCTCCGTGCGTACCAAAGCCATGCTGCTCCCTGAGACTGGCCCTGGCTTTGGCATTCTGGCACACAGGGATTTATCCTGCATGGATGTTTACTGTTCTGCTGTGTTACGATTGAACCGCTATTATTTTTAATAAAAGGAAACAAATTCCATCCGGGCTGGAATGCAGCTCAATTTATCTGTTACCATGTGAACCCAGGAAGCCTGGAAGGAACAACAGCTCTGGAAAGCTCACACAGTTCCAGACAAGCAGAGTGGCTCCTGCCCAGTTAAATTTTGGGGTCTGGACAGTGGCAGCTTTAAGTTGTCATATTCCAGTGACCAGAGAGCTGCTGTCTTAGGGATTTAGCTGAGAAGCCTGATTTGTTTTCCTGTCTGCTCGGCTTGATTTATGACTAGAACAGCAAACAGTGTAATCTCTGCCAGTCGTGCACAGCATCTCGTTTGTCATGGAGGTCTGGGTCTTCCCATCTCCTGGAGGGAGGTTTGTGACTGTTTCCATTGTCTTGTTTTCACACTTCCATTTAGGCTTTCAGACAGCACAGCAAAGTACCAAGGCACATACATGTACACAAATGGCACCAGAGATGACAGTGGGCATCTTTGTGGAAGAAGAAATGATGAGCTTGTCTTGCCACCTGGACACTAGAGCATGGATAAAATGGTGTTTCTTGGTGTAACTCCTGTTGTTATATCTACTTCTGTTCCAGGCCCGGAAGCTTATCAGTGACTTTGCCATTATCCTGTCCATTTTCATTTTCTGTGGAATAGATGCCCTGGTAGGTGTGGACACACCAAAACTAATTGTGCCAAGTGAATTCAAGGTATGTCTTTGTCAGTTTGTTTTGTGGCCTATGGAAAAGGTTCCCTTTGCCCCCCACCTGCCCTGTATAGAATGATTTGCCCTCAAAATGGGAAACCAGTCAGCAGTCTGGGAAGGGCTGATTTACTCAGAGGGTATCCTTTTTGTTAACATCATCTTGGGTGGCTGATTTATCTCCTAAATCCTGCCTCCATCCTTGAGACCTTTTGTTGGTGTTAATAGGAAGGATGACATTGTCATATACCTCTAAGTGTCTCCCTGTAACCCCATTAAAATACACCTTGTTTTGGGCTATCAGCACTCCTGTATTGTGCCTCTAATACAAGCTTTCTTTTTTCCTGTCCTTCAAAGCCAACCAGTCCTGAGAGGGGTTGGTTTGTCCCACCTTTTGGAGGGAACCCATGGTGGGTGTACCTGGCAGCAGCCATCCCTGCACTGCTGGTGACCATCCTCATCTTCATGGACCAGCAGATCACTGCTGTCATTGTCAACAGGAAGGAGCACAAGCTCAAGGTGGGTGTGCTTTGTGTCTTGAGCATGTGCAGGTGCTTTTCCCCCTACCCACCTTCCCCCTTGATGGACATGAGGCTATTCCCTGTCACTGGATGCTATTCCCTGACACTGGCAGCTGTTTCTAAGGAGGAAAAGTTGCTTTGTGGTTGTGGACAGGCTGCACAGTGCTGTCAAACAGGAGCAATAGGCTGGAGAGATTTGAGACACAGTGGGGGCATAACCCCAGTTGGATGTTATTTAAAGAGCTCTGAACGCTGACACGTAACAGCCTAGGATGTAGTCATGTTTTTAAAATAAACTTTCCAGGCTGGTGCTATGCAGTTTTTGATGCCTGTAGGGTTTTTCCTTTCTCTGCATGGTCAGTTCTATTGAACAATATTAAATTCCTGTGAGAGAAGATTCTCCCTTCCTGCTAATGGGACATATTTTAAGTGGTCTGAGCTGTAAGTAAATAAAGACTCCCTCAAAACACAGGTAGTAGTGGGTCTTTATTTAGGTACCTGCTTGCTCAGTTATAGGGAGAGCTGCTGGAAATGGGAACTTTTGCTTGAAAAAAAGCAGGATGTTTCAATTCATGTGGTCACTGTGGACATTAGGAAAGCAGAGTGTGATTTAAGACTCTCCTGGTTCTGACCTGGAGTAGCAGAGAATGGGAAAGGTTTGTTGGTGCAGTGATGAGTGCTGGCTGATGGCTTTAAAAAACCCTCAACACATCCCTGTTTGCCACCTGGGTCTGGGCAGATGTATTCAATACTGGGCCCTCATCTTCCTCAGGGCAGGCTGATCAGTTTTGGATCTGATGTTTTTTGGTCACCTGCACCTAACTAAGCAGACCTCTCATTTTCTTAACCTCTGGAAGAATATGTTTGCTGTTCTCCTCCATGAAGAAAAGGCCCCTCATCTCTGCAGCTTATAAACCACTGAATGTGGTTATGGTGTCAGCACTAGGTGTCCATTTTTAGCAGCAAAGTTATAAACACTCCAGCAGAGTGCTGTTTAATATAGAAAATGCATTCCCTGCTTCCTTTGTTATGGTGTGAGCACAGTATTTTGTGGAACTGAGGGTTCTCAAGTCCCACCCTGCTGTTCTGCACCAAAAACCACCTCCATACACAAAATCTACTGTAGAAAAGAAAAGGGACAGGTTTTTTCTGCTCATCCCTTGCAAAAGTCTTGGCAGGGTGTCGCTAGGTGCCACCAAGCAGCCAAGGTAAGCAGTGCACGTGTCAGGGAAACAGTGAGGACTGTTCAAGAGGAGCTGTTCCCTCCTGGGTCATCCTAGGTCCTGATCATTTGGTTTTTTTCCAATGAAATCAAATTGAACATGATAAAAAAAGAGGTTAATCTGTTTTAAAATAGCAAACCTTAGAGGTTTGTGTGTTTCTGCAGGTCCCCTTCTTTGCTGGCTCTTTTGTTTCTTCGCTTGTCTTGGCACTTGTGACTGCTGGATTTGCTGTGTTAGTTCATTAAAGGATTTAAAACATAGAGGATCAGAGGTCTTTAAAAAGGAGACAAGAATGAGGGCAGCGTTCTCGTTTGGGTAGGGAATGAGCCCATCAGCTGTTGTTGCATTCCCCAAGGGAATGGGGTTGGGTGTTGAGGGAGGTGCCTGCAACACCAAGCACCATCCCAACGTCCAGCCCAGTTGGGAAGTCCCAACTGGGAGATCCCACAGTTGCTTCTTAGCCTAAATCCAGGAGTTCAGACCTCACTTTGAAACATCAGTGGCACGTGTTGCCTTCAGGCAGGTACTGTATTTCTCTAAGGTGGCTTTCAGGTTGGTTTCCTTTGCTCATCACACTGAGAGTTACTGTGCAGCAACCACTGAAAGCTAAAATTAGGCTTTGGGAGTTTTGTTTAAAGGGTGGTTTGGGTGTTTAGAGCTCTGTGCCCATACAGGCATCTCTTAGACATGAGATGACTTGGGGCATAACCTCTGTGTGTGTGTATATATAT